CAATAAATATTAAAACAAACGACGCCTCTTCCCCAACATCAACCAAGACGTCTGAGAGGGAAAACGTTTCCCTAAATGCCTACTCTCCCCTATTCCATCATCAAAGCGACACTCTCCGCCTCCAGAACAAGCTCCACTACACGGGCCGCGGCGTACACGGCAGCGCCGACAAGCAAAGACGCGGCAAACATGGACCCGCGCATCGCGTCGTGGACATCTGCTTCACGCAGCGAAAGAAGCCTCCCACCGCAGAGAGCAAGGCTCAGAGCCGTCGTGCATGCAGCGGAGTACCAGGAGCCACGCCACACCCTCACCGCCACCACGGCAACGAGGCTGCATTCCACCTGCAGCATCACCCACAGTACTTCGTTCGTGTACGGCAGAATGGACGCGGTGCTGGCAATCAGCACCGCCGCCACAACCGCCGCCAAGCACCACACGTCACCTGCCTTGCCGAGATGTGTGCCCCTCACACGCTGCTGCTGCTGCAGCGACGCTGCTGCCATGTCCATGAATGACTCCGGATGGGCACGCTGCGCAACCGCGACGCTCACCGCCACACTGATAAGACAACTAACCGGCGCCAAGAGCGCCACGAGGTATGGCGACGCCCGACTGTCACGCTGCACACCGAACAGAACACTAACGATGCCGCTAAATATGAAAAACCAGCAGCAGATCATAGCCTGTTTAAGCACATACTCACTTCGGGAAAGACATGTGACAGTGTCAGCTCGGGCATTGCCACTCACATTGTGCGTAGATCCTTTTGTTGATGCGCCACTGGTGGCGGCGCGCCGCCGCTCACGTTCGACAGCACACTTCTGCTCCAATGGGGAGTCAAACACGAGCGGCGGTTTCTGCAGTCGGTACGTCACGAACGCCACCAGAGGCACGGCGTGGAGAAAGGTGACGCACATGAGGGCCACGTTGTCGAAGAGTGTCTGTGCAGCGCTCACCGACCTTGGCCCTGTGAACGTTGTGTAGAGCGACACTGCGGCGTGGAAAAGCCACGTCCACGGCGCCACCCCGGCGTACTCCGTGATGAACCAGAAGTTTGCAGTCGGTGCCGGGCACGTGGCATTCATCTTGACACTGGCGAAGGAGCTACATCGGGCATCGCCCGCCTCCGCACCACCACTCACAGAAGGAGTAGGAAACGACAGCACCGGCAACGAAGACGAGGATGCGGAGGAGGAAGAAACATTTATCTCTGCAGGTCTTACTGCTGAAAATGCCACGGATGGCGGCACGAATGTGTACACAAGAGAGACGGCTGATGATGCGCTGGAGGAGAATGGCACCAATGATGCAGCCACAACTGCACCGAAAGCCAACACTAGCTTCAAAAACGTCCACGACAGGAGATTGAGGTCCCTGTAACAGGACACGCCGGCACGCCGCATCACCTTTCCTGCCTCCTTCGCTTGCTGCCGCGCAGTTGACGGCAGCGGGACTTGAACCATCACAACAACACGGCGGAAGGCCTGCTGGTAACACGCAGTGACGGCCCACAGCGCAGCAGCAACTGCCAAGTACACAAAGTGTGGCTCCATCGCACACGTCACGCACCACAGCAGAGAGAAAAGCAACAGGTACAGCTGGGTCGGCAGCCGCCGCGCAGGGTGACAGCGCATGGCGCCATCTTCTATCACTGTATGTGAGAAGTCGAACTCCCACGTATCCCTTTCATTCTTGTCATTGGCAGAAGGACTGCTCGAACACTGGCGGGTGTGTAGCACCACCTCGTTTCGCACCACGAAATAAAAAGACCACACACAGAGTGCACAGCCTAGTCCCATGGGCCGCAGCAAGCCTGCCTCAGAAGCAACAGCGGGTAGCAGAAGAAGAAGAAGTGACACAGCACCCACCACTGTAAGCTGCGCTTGCAGATTCTGCTTTTCTCTCTCCTTTTCCTTCTCCTTATTCTTTCTTCCGTTAGGGGTATCGTTCAGTCCCATTAGCAGCAGGGCTGCGACCTCACGACTCCAGAACCACGCCGCTGGAAACAAAACTACAATACATACAATAAGACTGAACACAACGGTCGGCTGCAACAGCTGCAGCCCAGGCTGGACAACCTCCTCCACGGCGCTCAGGAGCGTAGCAGCCCACAGCGTCGCAGCGCGAAACGGCGGAACAAGTTTGCCTTCCTCCGTGCGGTGTGTCGTGCCATACCACTGCTGCGGTGGCAGCTGCTGCGTGCGGTTCATCCAATACAGCGCTGTCGCAACATCTGGCGGCGGATCTGCACCCATCACACCAGCAATAAATAGCACAGCAGCAGCGTACAGTACGGCCACACCACCAAAGGCTGTGACTGCACTCGCACAGATCCTTAGCTGAACAAGTGACATATGTTACGGTTTATCTTTCCACAGCGGCGCTGCCTTTGAGCCGAAGTAAAAGAAATGGTAGAAGAAGGGGAAGTAAGGCGTACAACGATCGAGCCATT